ATTGAGATGTATTTTGAGATTGGATATAAAGAACACAGAAAAAGCAACAGAAGAAAAGCAGGCAATATGTTTTTAAGATTAAAGAAATTCACATACTGAAACAAATGGACTTCTATAAAACAATATGCATGATTTGGGAAACACAGAAAAGGTACCTGAGTGAGCATCTGTAAATATAAGTGGTGCTTCACACTGGGATGAATGGTTTGTTGGTTCTGACTTCTGCAATTTTTGTGATTTTTTTACTTGACAAGATGTTTCATCATCTATAGCATAAATAAACTTTTTCTTCTTCTTTTTCAAACTGGATATTAAACCCTCAATTTTCAAAGTGACAGAAGTATGAGTGCTAGTGGCTGGGTGTTTTTCACTATCAAGTGAGCTAGGAAATAAAGAATCTGCCTTCTGGGAGCAAATAGCACGTATTTCCATTCCACTTTCAAATGTTCCACTTTCTTCCTTAAAGTTTGTTTTGGTCAGATTACCTGAGAAAACTTCATCAGAAGTCTCTTCAGATGGCTGTCTTATCCTGAATAAAGATTTTTTGATACTTGGAAATGGAGAAACTGTTGGGGAAGTTCCAGGCACTATCTGCTTTGCTACAAGAAAGGAATCTTCATGAGATTCAAGCTGTTGCTCTTCATCTCTCTTATCTATCAGTGTTTCCTCTTGTAATATCTCTTCTGATTGTGGAAGACTAGAAATAGGCAGCAAAGAATTTTTTGTATTAATAGACGTCATACATTCTTTCTCAGTGTCTATTAAGTTATTTTCTGAATTACCTTGGTCATAAGAAGAAATAGGCAATAGAGGCATTTTTTCCATCTGGGTTTCATTCAGGCCTGAGAGGTTTAGCTGCGACCATTCCCAGTCTGAAGATGGTACAGCCTCCTTGGAGGCTTTGTTACTTTCATGGCCAAAGGGATTCTGATTTCCTAAGTTAGTATCTAAAGGATCATCATCACTGGGTTCCACTTCAGATGCAAATGAATATTTATCTTCTTTAACTTGTTTATCTTTTTCACTGAATTCATCAGTGCTTGTTTCACAGAAAATTTTTTTTCTAGTCTTATCCAATCTTGTCTTGTGTAGATTTCCTGTTCTCTTCTTAGAAAAACATAATGAAAAACTATCTTCTTCAGAAAAATCTGCAACTGTTTCATGTACTTCATCTTCTTGGGTATCTGTCATTGATGTTCTAAAGTCATCTTTGTCACTATTGACTTTACCAAATGAATTCTCTAACACTTTCCCAAATCCTGTTAAAATTTAAAACAAAAAAACCCACGTTAATGACATTTTATAACAATATGAGTGTATGTATGTATATATATATAGTTATTTTGGATGGTAGTTTTTTTTTTGAAAATTACTTATTCTTCTAAATAAATCCTAATGCCAATGTAACTAACCAAATCCTTTTTATTCCTGCTCCAATTGCTAATAATCTCTCTCTACAGAATTAAATTTTACTTTTTTTGGATCAGTCACAGGACTTGAACTCTGGGCCTGGGCTCTGTCTCTGCGCTCTTCAGCTTAAGTAGAACACTCTATCATTTGAGCAGTTTTTATTGGAGATAAAAGTCTCATGGACTTTTCTGCCCAGGCTGGCTTTGAACTGCAATCCTCAGATCTCAGCCTCCTGAGTAGCTAGGATTACAGCCATGAGCCATCGATACCCGGAATATATCTGTATTTGTTATATATTTACTTTCTAGTTAGAAAAAAAGGATTGTATAGTTTTATTAACTTCAGAAAACTTGAAGTAATAGGTTTTGCTTTTCTGTCACATATTGACTAGTTCTGCCTTAGCATGGCATTTAATTTTTTAAATTTATTTATATTTATTTTTTTGCCAATTTTAAATATATTTAAGACACTGCATTTTCCACTTATAATACAGTGCTTTATAAAGTGCAACGTTTATATTTTTCCCTGTGTACATGTTCCATATTCAAGTATTAAGATTGCCCAGTAATTTACTATAGCAGTTTAACTTTTAAAAACTGCTATAGAATAAAAATTATTTATATTTTTTTAGGAAGAGTCTTATTATGTAGTCCAGCTGTCCTGGACCTATGAACCTCCTGTTTTAACCTATCAAGTGTTAGGAATAAATAGTGTCACTTAAATAGTTAGTTTCTCTCTTGACTATGCTGACCTCAGTAGTCAATAAAGCACAAGCCTTGTGTTTTCTCTACAAAAAAAAAGAACAGCTGGACTCAGGGTGTGGCTCAAGTTGGTAGAGTACCTGCCTGGTAAGCCCAGGGACCTGAGTTCAAGTTCAATACTAAAAGTGAGAGGGAGAAAAGAAAAGCAATGTTGTCAATTAGAAATTATTAAAAAACACTAGTTCAACTAAACAAAATGACAAAACTTACCATGACTGCTAGCTTCTCTTTGATTTTTGTTTTCACTATTGGTTACAGATGGAATGAAATGATAATTTTTCTTCAGACTTTCCTTGTGTTTGGAAAAATAGTTTTTCAAAATCTGCAAAATTATTTTTCAAAATTACCAGTATAAACACTGTCATTACACAACTGTGTATATATATTATATAGTAAGATATATATCTAATATACACACATATGTATAGATAAATATATATATATATATATATATGAATGTTATTAAATAAGGAACATAGTTTTGTCAAAAGTACATACAGGGTCAAGTTTAGAGACTTTCTAAAAAGCTTAGGTAAACTATAAATTAGAGAGCAAAAACTGTAGGACAGTTGATTTGTCAAATTTTGAGTTCTAACAGTACAATCAATTTGAATATATTTACTTACAACAGTTGGATCATTAGGAAATATAGTTCCAGATGTTTCCTCATCTCTAACTGTAAAATAAATGTGAAATTTATCTGTACTGTAATATATAATACACATTTACTTATTACATATTTGCATATTACAATTGCCACAAAAGCTTACACATTTTTACTTAAAACAATACTGTACTAGTTGATTGACACATCTGAAAAAGAATGAAAGGCCAATGAACACAGTTAATAAGCTATATTTATGTCCTTATTACCAGTCACAAAGTGGTAAGAAACAATTGGTTGGTAGTCTTACTTTCTGATAATACTGTCAACAGTGAATCAGAAATCAGATAAAACTGTAATATAACTTATAAGCTATGTTGGGACTTCACCATTTATTTAGAGAAGGACAGACTGAAGGCGTATTTTATATTAAATAGTACATAGTTTAAAAAATACTTTTCAGAAACACGACTTTCCCTCAAATCCCATATAGATCCAAAGACATTAATTGTTGGGGATTTTAACACACCACTCTCCCCACTAGATAGATCAACTCGGCAAAAACTCAACAGAGAAACC